TCATAAAACATTTATAAAGACAACTTACGAAGATAAGAGAGGGAGATAAAAGGGATGGATTTTCAATTGGGTCAGGTTTAGGGTAGGTCAGGGAATGGAGCTTAAAATTGGTGATGAGTTTTGAGTACATTGGCTGAAGGGTGAAGGCAGGAAAGTTTAAAACATGTTTTTTTTTTCAGTACTCTGTTTTAAGTTCTTTTTTTATACATTTGATTCATTAAGTTCTGATTTACTTGGTTTTGGACGCAGTTATGTACGCCTGTTGTATGTGTTGCTTCAAAATAAAGAATGTCATATTCATCTTAACAGTTATGAAGACCGAAGTGCAAGAATGGTAGCCTGGAATGCCTGAATTCATTAGTCTAGAAAACGAAGGTTATAAGACATTATGATATCATATTAATTAACTGTAATGGGCCCAACATACTCAAACATTTACTGCATTGAGTCTACAAAGGAAAACACAGAAAGCTAATGAAAAGAGATTGATCCATTAGGATAATTCTTTGCAAGTGCACTTAAAAAAACAATCAGTTATTACCTAATTTATTCAGTGAAAATGGGGATTATGTACTGTATCAGCATGGAGAAAATATATTAATTATTTTCTCCCTGGTATCAGGATGTTGAATGTAATTAGACAAGGGAAAAATTAAATCCAAATGATGTTATAAAAAACAACATTAATGGCCAAAAATGCTTAAACTTGTACCGCATTAATTCAGTCTACAAGAAAAGACTGGTGTTGAAAAATTAATCTTTACACCATTAATACTTCAGTGGAAATGATGATTATGTATTAACGTGTTGAATGTAATTTAAACATACTAGGATTGAGCATACGTGGTATGAGATCAAAAACAATGTTTATGGGCCCAACATGCTTAAAATTGTATTAATTTGGTCTACAAGAAAAAAAGACTGGTGTTAAAAAATCAATCTTTAGATAATTAATTCTGGAAACGAGGATTATGTAGGGTGCTGAATGCAAGTAATTTAAAGACGCCAGGGTTGAGTCCACACGGAATGAGACAAAAAACAGAATTATTCACCGACACGCTACTGTACGTACTGTAGTAAAAGTATACCCTGTTGAAATTTTATCCCATGCATTTGTCATCAACTGCAAAAAAAGTGGAAACACCATCCTGCATTAACTATCTCCTTCAAATGGCGTACTGACAACAACACTCTACGACAATCATAAGGTAACAGTAAACATTGTCCACTTAAAGCTAATTACACTCAAATGATGAATTAAAATGACATTTTTCAAACAGCACTCTGTAATGACAACTGACCATCCAACAATAAAGGAAAGTTAAAATTTCAATCTAAAAAAATGGAAATAAACAAATACTGCATCCTTATGGCGGGGCAACCTCTTAAATCTATTTCCCACCAGACAAATTTATTTGTGCAAATCAAAAGCGTCGGTTCATGCCCATGCGCATTCACATTTCTATCGGAGTTTTTCGCTTCAACGAAATCAGTAGTTTGAACTGTTTCTATTTTTTGCGAAGCGAAAAAATGCGCAAGCAATCAGAGCTCAGGAAGCAAACCGACGCTTTTTATTGGTGCAAATAACTTTGCCTAGTGGAAAACAGGTATTACACCGATAGCTAGAAATAATTTAATATACGGTATACCTAGTGCACAATTTTTTTTACATTGTACATCCTACTTGCCAACTCTACTGTTGAGCCTTTAGTTTAAATTAACTGGGATGAGTCAAGACTAAAAAAAGCATGCCCAAGTGGCTGCCTTAGGCTCTACCGCATCATCCGACAACAGTCTGTACAGCAGATAATTTTATTTCCCTACACATCGTAACTCAACACATCATACAATAATGAACTTTATACAATTACATTTAATACAACATTTGCTGTCAGAGAAAATCACACTTCCAACAGCTCTATTGCTGTAAGAAAATATAATCTATTCGGGGACAATATCTCATCAACTCATTCCAAGCAATCAGTCCTTTTATCATTGCCAATAAGAAAAAAAAATCAATGTTGACAGCGATAAAAAAAAACGGAACTACTTCTTACATCACCATCAAATTAGACTCAGTGAAGGCAACCACAATAAGAAAATACCATTACCTGTAAGGTAAGTAGAGTAGAGCTTGGTGGTTAAGATGCTTATCTTCCAATCCCATGGTCATGGGTTCAATTCTTGTTAATGGTAATATGATTTTTTTCTAATGATGATAGTTCAGCTTGCTCATGTTGTTTCAGCAACAGGCATTTAGGGATTCAATGGGTCAGGTCATATGGGACAAGCCCCTTATTTGGAGGTCATGAAAGCACCTGCAACAGAGCGATGAGGTCAAGCTGATGAATTGCATAAGACTAGTACTCTACATGATATCCTTGTAGATGCATACAGATCAATGAACCCTCTATATTATTTGATTTATCTTTTTATTGCATAAGGCACAACAAAAAATATTATCCACAGTATATCTACCACCAGTACTTGCGATCTTAGATGTGATGCAAGTTCATTTCTAATCTTCGAATTCACAGACCTGTATTTCACAAGCTAGATACATCAAATGAACATGAATACATGAATGAGTTAAACCTTTCATGAACCTGTGTAACGATAATAAGCATTAAAATAAAAAAACACAAAGAATAACTGACATATGATTTCCAGAGGAATAATCAATTAACGCCTCCTCCAGTAATGATGAATACTGTAATCCCTTACAGGACCCCTATGTAAAAGAAATATTTAATTAAGGATAGACTCCTAGAATGAAGTGGAATCATCTACTGCAATATGTACAAAGGTATACCAATGATTCTATTGTTTTCATGAACTCAGATGCATGATGCCCTGGATCTCTCTTACCTTTAGCATGGCGATACAGCCACTACCGTAATTGCCATTACTGTATGGTTTATAGAATTAACAGTCTGATAAACTCATTAAAAGCTAACTAAATCAGGTTTGAATTGATTGAGAATCCTTACCGAAATAACCAAATGTATCGCATTTATTTAAGGCAGTGGCTATTGTTACATCAGTTGTTAAAACTACTTCCTACAGTAATTCTGATTGGATGATAGGACTGGTGTAAAAAAAAAATAGCCATTGCCATATAATAAAACCCCACCAATCAAACGACATCAATGGCATATGTTATAAAAATTAATGCAAATTTGTACAGGCTAAATTGTATCTATCAGGGCACTTTTCAAAATGACAAAAAAATCCATCAAAAACTAAGTGAACACTCAAAATAATGAAAATGCTGGCCTAATTGAGTGCCTTGTATTATAATGATGTTGGTACTATATTAAGCCAACATCTCCATTATACGGTAGTAAAATTAATGTGAAGGAGCCCTACAAAATATTGCAAGATGAACAGTGGCGTATCCAGGGGTAGCGTGGGGCAAAAAAATTATGTTCAAGTAGGATTAAAATCACTTTTGCACGCTAGTTGCCCTTCACGTCAACTTCGCACCCTCTCCCATTTCACCTTCCATTTCAAGGTTCCTATACACCACTGAAGATAAATCCATGTTACGTAATTAATCTAGAGCTAGCCTACCTAGATTATCAATCCAAAGATATTTTACAGTAGATCATTTCTTGATTGAAGTGAATAAACCATTAACTTGAGTACTACCACTAACTAGGCTTGTATTCGACAAAGGCCTGTACTTGGCTGATATTACCCGGGGTGTGGGGATCAGACGGGCCCCCCTGTCAGGGAGAATAAAAAAATTGTATGTATTTTCTACATATTAGGGCACATAGAAAAAATAATTAGATTATCACTCTTTTTTTTTTTTTTAATCGATGAGGAAGGGCGATTTTTTTTTTTTTTAATCGGAACAAGGATTATTTCGCTTCTGTTTTTATCGATGAGGGAGGGACTGTTTACAGTATATTTAGCTAGTAATAGTAAATATTGTATAAAAAGTGGTTTAATTTTATAGTTTTTTAAAGAAAATGTATTTAAAGTCACAAAATTGCATTGTTATTTTTACACTGTTGAAATAATTGATGCAGCAAAAAAAATTTTCTTTTTATTCCCGCATCAATATTTCCCGAATTTTTGACGCGGGCGGTAGTGATAATCTAATAAATTTGTCTATATTAGTAGACTCTAAAATCAATTAAATAGAATAGAATAGAAATCTTTCTTTATTCTGGATACTCAGTATTAATACACTGTTCTTCCCTGAGGTTAAGGGTATTATCTTAAACTATATTATATTAAAAAATAAAATTAAAAGAAAAATGCATAAAAAAATATATAAACAGTATATACTGTATATATCTATACTATATATATA